TGTGCATCTAATTTTTATTGATATTTTAAAGTGACAAGAGAACATATGATTGAAAAAAAGTTTCTGCTGAAGCAGAGCAACATGATAAACCAATGAGAACAAAATGAAACGAAACTGTAAAATGTAAGCCATAATCTCACAGCTGAATGAACATAATAGCTTTTGCTTAGATTATAATAACTCTTCAGCTTTTTAAAAATAAATCTAATATTTCAGAGTTTACACCTAAACAAAAAGTGCGATGAAGTACAAAGTTTGTTATATTCATATCCATCTTCCCCTGTAATGAACCTCTTATATTAATAAATTCGTCACAATTAATGTACCACACCCAAATTCCCCAGTGTTTTGTGTAGATTATAGTACAAGTTTGCCAATAAATAATTCTGCATTGTATTCATGTCACATAATTCATTTATCAGTCAAAACTGTTCACTAAAACTATCAGTCAAAATGTAAAGAAAAATAAGGAATAGTTCAGTGAATTGAAGACTAAGAAAATATTCTGTCAATTTGGAAATTGTTACTTTAAAAATATTTTTATAATCACAGATTTTAAACTGAATTTTCTTGTATGGTACAGATGACACAGATATCGTTCCATATGGAGTGTCTATAGGCTCAATTTTCTCATTGAAGGTATTCTTGTACTTTTGTATCTGTGTTTATCATGAACTACCGATCATCTATGCCACACACACGAATGCATAGTACGATTTTATGCAGTCAAGTTTCCATTTTTCTATCCTGATATCAAGTTCTATCTTCTTGGCAGGTCTGTAGTTAACACATGCGTTGGAAGACCAGCTTTGCTTCTGTAATTCTTGAAAATTTTACAAGTTCTGACCAAACAGGATGCAGAACGGTTTTTGAGTTTCTGCCATGAAATGTCTAATAACCCTGTCATTCTTCTGAAAATACTGCGCTAATAAATTCTGACAACGTGCAAAACATAGTGAGAAGAAGAATTTTTACTTCCCACGCAGCTTTTCTCCAAGTGGTAAAAGATGGAGAAAAGCAGCAAAAGGGAGAAAGACCCCATAATTAGGTCAGATAGGCCATTTGAATACAGAAAGATAATTTCTGAAATGTACATTCCTGACTTTTTGCTGGATATATTTGCTTAAAGTCTTAGGTGATGAAACCACCACTTCTGTATTCAAAGAATAATCCTAAGTACAATCTAAAAATCATTCCACAATAAAGTACTGAAATTAAAAATGTGCCGATAGCCAACGTCGTAAAACCTTCCTTTGGCTCTTTCTTATCTACCTCCAGACCTTCTAACACTAAAGCAATTCCTTGTCATTTTTGCTGTTATTTAACCGTAAGATGTTAGATGGTGACCACGTGACAATCTCTTTCATTTAAGTACCATTTGTAAATGAAGCACAAATGCATTTACACACAAGTAGTTTTCTTGTACAAGCATCAGTTTCAACATTAGTTAAAACAGAATAATAAGAAAAAGCATGGAAGTCTGCCATCCAGTTATTCCTTGTTGAGATCTTGATAGTATGTTGACTCACTTAATAGCTATGCAATCTTTATTATATCTGGGAAGGTCATTGGCATAAATATACAAACCTTTGCCACAAATGCTGGAATTGCAAAAGAAAACTTAATTCTTTAGAAACACAATATAATACACAACGACCAATTATCCTTACAGCTGATCTGAAAACTCCTGCTTACTGCTAATGCATGAACATAAGCTGGAAAAGCTGATGTTGTATTTGCCTGCCTTATGCCATTTATGGTGGTTTTCTTCCTAAGCCAGGACATCAGAAACACCCTGGGAATGTAGAATTACAGCTGATTTTTTTTAATTAAAAATTTTTGATTTCAAAAGAGTCAAAAAAATCAGGTAGATCCAACCTCAAAATGTGTTTTTTGAAATTAAATGAATACAATGGTGACAGCAGGAAGAAGTCATTGTGTGCCACATACCACACAGCAACTTACAGCAGAGATTTCTCCCGGAGTGCAAGCAGTGTGATTCTGATCAGTTTCTTTCCATTTTTGTGGGTTAATCAAGCAGATTGATCATATAGAATGTGTGGGATATACATATATAATAAATACACATATAAATATATGTGCTTATGAAAGGTAAAAGTGGAATTTGTTAAATCCTCTTCATATCTATGACCTAATAAGAGCTTCCAGATACTGTGTATCTGAAAAAGAAAGCATTCATGTTTAAAATCTGCTTCAATACCCCATTGCAGTTTTTAGTAAAAGGTGAAAGATTTATATGATCAGAAGAGAAACCAGAGTATGCCGGTGTAATTTTTACAAATTTCTTTCTTTGAGTGTTTTTTTTTTATTGTTGTGCAGTGAAAAAACTACCTACTTAATTATGTTTGGCAAATCGCAACCTTGCAATGTATACATCATTTGGTCACATTTCATTCCTCTTTAATCAGTTAATCCATTACTGGGAACTTCCTAAATTCAAACAAACAAACAAACAAACCAATCACTATCAAACAATCTTATATCATTCCCAAACCATATTTTCACACCATTTGCTCGTATTTTTTATTTACGTAAATTACTTTATTATTAAATGCACCCTATGTGAAAACTTGTTGTTCATAAACTACCAGAAAAATTAAAGTATAACAAAGATAGGAAAATGGAGCCTTAATAACTCTGCATTATTTTAAGTACTTCCTGATCTTTACACCATCTTGGAACATATTTCCTTTAGCATACAACTACAAGAGAAGGTGAGGCATGACTCACATTCCATCCTGTTGAGTCAGCAGTTACAGATACACATTCTGCAATAAATCCCTTAAAAAACACCATAGGAGCAAATCATTTCACTTCTATCTATTACTATTTCAAATGTTTGAAAATATTATAACAAAATCACCCATGTCTTATAGTGTTCGCCCGATGTTGTCCTTTTTCTCTAGGAATTTGATGGTTGCAAATCTGAAGTTTAGGTTCTTGATTCATTGTAGGTTGATTTTTTTTTTTTTTGTGGTATAAGGTGTAAAGACAAGTGTCATATTTCATAGTGCTTGCAGCGACGCCATTTCCCCAGTAACATCCATTAAAGTGACTGTTTGCCCTTTATGGCTTGACTTTTAATTCATTTGTAAAAGATCATTTGCTTTTAGATGCATGGATTGATTTCTAGGGCCTCTAACATCTTCCTTTGGCCCACATGTCTATACTTCAGACATTACTGGGTGGTTTTGGTTATAGCCACCATGTATAGATCTTGAAATCTGTTATTATAATGACTCTGGCTTTATATTTCATACTTAAGATTTATGCAACTACTCAGGATTTCTTGTGTTTAGACATAAATTTTAGCATCATCTATTCTGAGGCTGAGAAGGATGTCATAGGTCTTTTGTTTGGGATCACACCAAATCTATAAATTGTTTCAAATCCTATGGATATTTTGATGGTGTTAATTCTTTCATTCCATTATTAAGCCTTGTTTTAGACTTGTCTCTAAAATTCAAACTGAAATCAGTAGTGTATTTTCAGCAAACACTAGATTTGACTGTGATGTACAGAAAGGCTGAGGAGGGCCCAGCACGATAGCATAATGACTCAAGTCCTCACCTTGCACACGCTAGGATCCCATTTAGGAATCTGCTTTAATCTTGGCAGACCTGCTTCCCATCCAGCTCCCTGCTTGTGGCTTGGGAAAGCAGTCAAGGATGGTCCAAGGACTTGGGACCCTGCACCCTCACAAAAGACCTGGAAGAAGCTCCTGGCTCCTGGGTTTGGATTGGCTCAGCTCCAGCCATTGCAGTTACTTGGGGAGTGAATTATCAGACAGAAAATCTTCCTCTCTCTCCTCCTCCTCTCTGTATATCTGCCTTTCCAGTAAAAATAAATAAATCATTTTAAAAAAAGTCTGAGGAATACTGTTCTGATCTGTGTTGGCATTTGTTTATTTATTGCTATATATATGCTTAATTAAGTATAAATCACCTTAATACTATACAGATTTCAGAGAGCAACAATTATGTCATATATTAATTGTGAGGTAGTGTCAAGAGGAAAGCCATTTCTGGCAGTCAATTTAGAACAGATAGTATATAAAGTTAAACTTTAAGAAAATTAGCAATTGTGCATTTTTGCTAACACCATAAACCTAGGAGCTAATCATGTGTATAAATAACTTGAGATCAACATTTACCTCTTGTTAGACCATCACAGAGTCTACAGCCTACAGTAAGTTGCATGGTTTCTCTGTACCCATATTTCATTACCTGGAAATTAGCATACTAATAAACAAGATTTTTAAAATTTGTGGAAAAATAAAATTTGAACTATTTTTATTTTGATGCAGTTTTTAGTGTACAAAATGTACAGATTTCAAAAACGTTTGTACTATAATGGATGTGTTTTCTAACGACATGGGCCAATAACATTTCTAAATATCCTCGTGTAGCTTCTTTCTTTATAGAAATTAATTTAGATGGAAAATGAGAAAATCTTCTAATATGTAAACTAATTACATTCAACAGAACATACTTTTGAAAATAACATTTCCACCCTTCAAGAAGTAATCTGTATCAAGTGATGAGAGCACAAATAGACATTTTAGAAAAAATAATCATCTGCTTGAATACTTGTACATTTAGTCATGTAATCCCATTGATTTTCATTATAACTCAAAAGTTGAGTTCACATAAGAATTTTGCCTCAGAGAAGCAAAAATTATCATCTTAAAGTATCATCTTGTTAAATGCATGCAAATATTACCCAACGGTTCAGGTGCATTATTCGTCCACATAGTGCTACAAGGACAGTTAATTAAATGAACAATTGATCCACAGTGAACACAATAACTTTCAAAAGGTAAACTTTATACTTCTGGCCTTGTGGTTCAGCAGTGGTGCCATTACCTAATTTGATTGGTTCTTGTGTTAGCACCAAGTCTGTCCCACATGCTCCACTTCCAATTAAACTTCCTGCTGGTGCCCTGGGATGGCAACAAGAGATGGCCCAAGTATTTGTGCAAGTACCAACCATGTAAGAGACTTAACTGATTTCTGGACTCTTCGTTTTAGCCTGGATCAATGTTGACCATTGATTGGTTGAGGCCACTTGGGGCATGAGAGTGCTCTCTCTCTCTCTTTCTCTCTTTCTCTCTCCCATCCTCTCTCCCTCCCTCTCACTTAGCTTTTCAAGTGAAAAGTAGTGATTTTTTTTTAAGATTTTATTTATTTTTATTGGAAAGGCAGATATATAGAGAGAGGAGGAGAGACAGAGAGGAAGATCTTCCATGGGTCATTCCCGAAGCAGCCACAACGGCAGGAGCTGAGCTGATCCGAAGCCAGGAGCCTCTTTCAAGACTCCCACACGGGTGCAGGGTCCCAAGTCTTTGGCCCATCCTGGATTGCTTTCCCAGGCCACAGACTGGAAACTGGATCGGAAGTGGAGCTGCCAGGATTAGAACTGGTTCCCAAATGGGATCCCAGCGAGTGCAAGGCAAGAACTTTAACCGCTCGATTATCACTCTGGACCATAAATCTTTTTTAAAAACTACACTTTAAGCCCAATGCAGTAGCCCAGAGGCTAAAGTCCCCGCCTTGCACATGCCAGGAACCCACATGGGGATCTAATCCCAGCGTTCCTGTTTCCCATCCAGCTCCCTGGGAAAGTATTCGCACCAGTGTAGGAAACCTAAAGAAATTTCTGGCTCCTGACTTCGGATAAGCTCAACTCTGGTCTTAGCGACTGCTTGGGGAGTGAATCAGCAGATGGAAGATTTTCCTCTGTCTCTCTTCATCTGTGTATATCTGACTTTCCAATAATAAAAACAAAACAAAACAAAAAGTTACACTTTAAACTTGTTTTCTTTTTAATTTTCTGCACTCCCTATGTTGTAACAGAGTAGCATTCGAAAATGTTAAAAATCAAAACAATAGACAATTCCCCATTAATATATCAAAATAGTAACCAGCCATACTGGATTTTGTTAAATAATTCAGCAAAACTCAACGCAAAATGAGCCACAAAAAGGTGTTTTTTTTTTTTCTTTTCTTGTTTTTGACAGACGTGATGTAATTGTAAGTAAGCTGATTTTGCTTAACCTTAACTATTACAACATCTTTTAAAAGCTAGTTCCCTTCCTGCTGCTTTACACTTTAATTACTTCTTTAATCGACTCATTAGTTGATTAACTTATCACTACTAGCAGTAAGCACCTATTCCAAGTAGCGGGGAGCTAATTGAAGCAGTGGTCTTTGAATACTTCCTGGCTCCAGCCCAGCAGCTGGTTACTTGGCTTTGTGGTGACTAGGGGACTTCAAAGCCCACACATTAAATATCTGAAAAGCAAAAATTATAGCACTGCCATTATTTATTAAACACTTTAAAAATAAAATGTTCTAAATCATTGCCTACATTGCTTGGCTGATCTTTTTCTAACTTAGAAACCATTCGAATCACACATCTTGAATTCAGACAAGCCATACTAGTTAAGTATAATTATCAATGACTTAGGACCATCACACATGAACTCATGTGCACAAATAGACATTTAAAGGGAAGGAAATAATGAATACACTGGTTCTTAGGAGAAAAAAAAGCCAATGGAACCCATTGTTTCAGTTAATTATGTTTTTGTAGAATACTGGCTTTTAGCAGAAATTCTGAAGCTCGTGTAAAATCGTTCGTGTTAAACTGTCACTTGCTCTTCCCCATCTTATGTTGAAGCCATCTCATCTCAATCACACATCTTAACAGAGATGCAATAGTGCCGCTGTATAATTAAGAAGGAATTTATTGAGTGATTACATTCTTACAACTCCTTCCAAAAAAAGAGTTCGGTTTCACTCAAAAGCATATAGTAAATAATTTAAGGCTAAAATGTCTAAGACCAAATGGACCAGGTATCTTTAAAGGCAAAGTCCTCCTGACTCTCAAACACAGGTTTTTGTTTTGTTTATTTGTTTGTTTGTTTGTTTTTGGTAACCACAGAGCCATTTCTCAGGTAGCCTCCACTGCTTTTCTTCCCTACAATGTAGTTTTGATTGAAATTTAATGAGGCAAAAACAAAGTGCTAATAAACAGCAATTGAAGTAATTAATGAACAATAATCTTTATGCCTCCTACTTCTATTTAATTTAAGGACTTCATGATGACATAATGAAGCCATGAAGGTAACCATGAGCTTTCAAATGGTATAACCAGAGGCAGTGATGTGTATTATTTCCAGCTCTGTAATAGAGAAGAGATTTGGAAAGCACAATGCAATCCTTGTTGCCAGTCATCTGGAGTCATGAGAACCATACCCATTGCCTCCACAATTAATATAAAAGCAAAGCATATAGAATAAAAATATATTAATTATGAGGCCTTCTACTATGCACTCCACATACATTTTCTTACTTTAGCCTAAAAGCAATGCTACTTTTCCATTTACATTATTTGTGTGTCGGGAGAGCTGAATATTTTTGTAGTGCACACCAGTTAGAGGCGTAACAGAGATTGGGTGAATTTTTGAAATAAATAGCCACAGAGGTTTTCCTACTCAAAGTTTATAAACAGGTAGAAGTATTCCTTTAGAATTTCTAAGTATATTTCAGAATGTTCTGTGAAAGCGACAGAAGACTGATAGAATATTTCTGGGTCATATGCAATTTCAGTAGATGCGAATAATATGGAAAATATAATTTACTCCCTGGTCTTTTTTATTTCCATGATTATAACATACACAACCTAGCATAAAACCTACAAAGTGTCATTTGGTAACTAGTTGTCAACTGATTTTTACATTTCTACATAAAAGAAACAGATTCAAACTCAAAAAAAACACATATGATTCAGTAAGCAAAATAGGCAGTGTATAGATTTATTTAATAAAAGAAACCCATTCCTATCTAAAACTGTTTCATTACTATTGAATGACTGCTAATTTACTATTTATTGAATTCCTGGTATGTGCCAACCACTACTGTGGTCATTAGAACAGAGTGGTGAATGGACTCAGTACTCTTACTCTTTATTTACCCTATAGAGTTGGGTTGGGGAGGGAGGATATTGAAAAGGGAAGAAAAGCATGCACTAAGCAGATAAATAATTTTTTAAAATTTTTATGTTTATTTATTTATTTACGATGATTATATTGTTAAACAGGGTGGAAAGGATTGAGCACTAGGGAAAAGTGGGTAAAATCATTGTTTCTTTATTTCTTCTCTTTGGGAGAAGGGCAGAGATAAAGGGGGAAGTCACACCCAGCATCCCAAATGCCCCAATACCCAGAGATGGGGAACCAGCATCCAATATCAAACCAGGGTCTCACTGTGGTGCATGTTCTGAGGGTTCTGACCGAGTGGTTTGGATAGTTCTGAAATGCTGCTGATTTTGTCTAACCCAGGGTGAGGCAACTCTCCCAACTGCTTCCTGGGATAGTTGTTCAATTTGCTCTGTTCCCCCCCCCCCCCCCCCCCCCCCCCCCCGCTGAGATGGCACTAAATGGTCTGCCTTAGTCTTCATGTGCATCAGGATCTGTGTCCACTGCTCCACCTTTTCCACTCCCGGGCAGGTTGAAGGACCAGGGTCAGGTGACCTGAGCCCCACTGAATCCCCCACCCCGGGGTTCATGAACCAGGCACCCACTTCGCATGTGAGCCCCAGGACCTAGGCCAGTCAACCCAAGCCCCGCCAGATCCTATACTCCCAAGGCTCATGAAACCATCACCACCCGTCACGTAGGCAGGCCACAGGACCCAGGCAGGATGACCTGAGCCCCGCTAGATCATCCACCCCCGGGGCTCACATACCTTGCACCTACTGTGCAGGTGACCCCAATAACCCGAGCCAGGTGACCGGAATCCTGTCTGATCCCCCATTTTTTTAAGTAAAAGCGACAGTTGCCCATGGTATTCTTCTCCAAGGAGGTGGTGTATGTAGTGAGAGGTGTATGTAGTGAGAGGTGAATGTTAATGGAAGTGGCCCTGTGAAATGATGTATTCATTGAAACATTAAGCTACGTGAAGAGTTCTGGTAGAGGGAAGGACAAATGAGAAGGACCTACTGACTAGAGGTGACTGTTTTTGAGAAAGTTTAGGAACGCCAGTGTGACAGCAAAGTGAAGAACAAAATCAGGGTGAGCTCAGTGAAAAGGATGAGTAATGAGATGGCGAATTGTTTTCTGACATGTTGGCTTAATGTCCTCAGGTCACGTAATTATAATTCTAACATATAATTTCAGCAAATCCGTAGTAATATTGTTCATACTTCCAAATGCCATTTTAAAACAAACCTGTTGATGTTAGCATGAAGAATTTTACATTCATCTGTTATCAGAAAGTCCAAGAGATTATATGAAAAGTTAAAAATTGCATTGAATTGCAAGCATTTTGTTTGGAGGTAAGATGTGGTTTGAGACACAGGAAATCAGTGATAGCATGGATTCAAGTTCAAGCATCTTTTCCAAATCCACCGTCCTGCTTAGCTGCACCCCGAGAGAGCGTATATTAAAACTCAACTGCTTATGTCCTTTACCCTCCATGTGAGAGTTCCGGATTGAGTTCCAGACTTCCGACTTTTTCCCGTCTAGATACAGCCGCTCTAGGCATTCCACAAGTGAACACTTTCACTGTCTTTCAAGAAAATATGTGTTTGAAAGCCCGTGGAAATAACTATAAACATGTGCGTACATATGTTCTTAAAGAATATTCAGAGTAAGAAATGTAAAGGAAATATTGCTTTTCTAATAATTGTATAGAAATCAATTATTAGACATAGTTTGTTTTTATGTTATGAGATTTTCAAGATTAAAGGCAAGCATTGATGTAAGGGCATTTCTGTAGCAAATGTCTTTAATGCAGCTTCCTAAAATGTTAAATTTGACAGGCAACTGTCATCTTTAAAAGCAATTTTAAAGGAAATTAGGCTTCATTTAGTAAACATTTTCATTAGTTCAGTAGATTTCCCTAAGGATGCAAAGTTACCAAACTATACCTCTCAACCCGTTCCCTTATATTTCTTACGACAAACTTAACATGAGGTTAACATTTAAC